CTTTCGTTCGTGTCACTCCGGTATACTGGATCTCCAGGTCGTGGCAGTCGTGGCAGAAAGTGGCACTGGGTAGTTCTGGCACGCCCAACTTCACGCTGAAGGCGGCGGGTGCCCAGGAGGACATAGCCCGACTGCGAGTACTGGGACAGGAGTAGGTCACGCCGAACGTGCCATTCCGGTACACTCCTACAGACGGACCCCCACGATAAGTTTTGGCTATACACAATGGTCGGAAACCCGAGCTTGCGCAAGACCCTGGACCGGTGCCGTTTCCGGCACTAGCCACAGACACGGACACCAGCCAAGTCTTGTTGCTGGCCCAGGGGTTAGTTTTGCCGCCCAATGTATCTTGCCTAGACACGTCCTTCATGGTGTTCAAGATCTTTCCAACAAAGTCCTCCCAATTCCCATGCTCATGGATGAAGGCATAGATGACCTCGAAGAGAATCTCAACGAAATCTATCCAGATCCCGGGTTTGCCCTCTCTTCCAGGCAACTCGTGGAAACGGTCGTTCTTCAACACCGTCTGGGGAACCTCCGTTCTCTTCGGGGGATCCCACGGGGTCGAAGGACCTGTGCTCTTCACCGTGACCATAGACTCCAAGAAGGGCACCACCCACGACTTCCAAAAGAGCTTTGCGGCATCGTCGGGCTTCTTGCCCATCTCTTCAACAAGGGAAAGAAATGCAGGAGAGTAGATCAGCTGCGCTGCGAACCACGTTCCTCCACTTATGGACACCAACACTTCCACTGCGTGGAGCAACTTCTCCAAGCCGAGTCCGGAAGCACCCAACAATCCGCTCATCGCACCTGTGAAGGCGGAGTGTGCCTTGAAACCACCACCTTCAAAAGTCATCGCAAGCTTGCGAGTTCCAGCTTTCCCTGTACCAAATTCGCCTGCCTTGGCCCTCTTCTGTATCATGAAGGCTTCGTCCATCTCGCGACCTGCGCATGACCCATCTTGGCACACGGCGGCCGCCAGCACGGGAAACGCGAGTGCGATGCTGCAGATCAAGCTTGCGGACCACATCGTGGCTCGAGTCCTCCACCGAAGCTTTGGGTGGAGGGGGCAGGGAAAGGCGAGCCGAATGGCTTCCGACTTTGGCTACGCAGAGGCCATGC